TAGTGACAGGAATGCCTCCTGACTGGACCATCCCCAGCCAACAGAACGTCTGGGTGACCCTCGCCAACGTGACTGGAACTGACACGCTGTGCCTGTCCGTAGCTACTCCATCAGATCCATTTCACACATTCTTCATAGGCCTACCACTCTCCAAGAAACAATGGATGGCCTTCTTAAATACATATATACCTCATTGTTCTTACCTTAACACTTACAATACACCCTTGACAGAATGTACAGATACATCAGGGCAAAGAGGGAAACAGCCAAAGGGAGAATATAAAGATTTCTTTCCTACCCTCCCCATAGAACCTCAAGAAATAGATCTAATGGGCAGTTTAACTGCCCCCTTTTGTTTTCATTTTTACCCTACTGACCCGCATTCAGAAAATCCACTGGCAGTTGATGTGTCTCCTCCAGGAGTTTATCAAAATGACAGCTTTGGTGTAAACTACCCAGCCCAACTACCATTAAATCTGAGCCACATCCGATTGGCTTGCCCAATGGATTATTTTTAATTTGTGAACAAAGAGTATGGAGAGGTATCCCTGGTAAGGCATAGGGTGGACCTTGTACATTTGGAAAACTAACACCGTTTAACCCCAGTAAATTACCCGCAGATAGACCCTTATGCTCCAGACTGTAATTTTAATGTCTACTTTTGGGGCCCAACAAAGAGAGTTTTTGCCAGCCTCATATCAGGCATAGGGACTGCACATGCCTTGACTTCCTTAGATAGACTTGACCGTTGGCTTGCAAAAGAAGCTAATGCCACCAGCTCAGCTATTAGTGCCTTATTAACCGATGTAGACTCAGTAAGAAAAGTAACCTTGCAAAATAGAGCAACTATTGATTTTTTGTTATTAGCTCATGGACATGGGTGTAAAGAATTTGAAGGACTTTGTTGTATGAATCTCAGCGATAATTCAGAATCGATACAACAAAGTATTGATAAGTTGAAGAAACTTTCAGCTCAGCTCAAAGAAAATAATGATCAAGGTTTAGATAGTTTGTTTAGTTGGCTCGTTATTTTTAGTATAGGACCTTGGTTAAAGAAAGCATTTACAGCAATATAAATGGACTTGTTTGTATTTCTTTGTATTATGCTCTGTATTCCCTGTTTACTATCCTGTATACAGCGTATGATTAATCGGAGTTTCGTGGAGGCTTCAAGTTTGCAGTTTGAAAACAAGAAAAGGGGAGTTGTTGGGGCAGATGACACTGCAGAGATCAGAAATTATCTTAGCCAGAAACCATGGAATTTAAACACAGACAAGGAAAACTTGTTTACATATACCACCTGATATTTTTATACTATCTTTTAATTAGGCAGACTTGCTGTCTCCACGAAAATCCTTTTACCACCTTGCCTACCCTATCTCCTGTTGTAATTGTGATAAAGAAATATCTGTTTATCTGTTTGAAGAGAAATATCTCCCCAGACCTTTAACCCCAGTTATCAACAGAACCCTTTCCCAGAACCCTATATAAATCAAGAGTTGTGCCAAATAAAGTATTCAGTTTTGTATCCTCAAACTGGATCATGCAATCATTTAAACTGTCTTAACCCCCTGTGTCCAATACAGAATGGAGGTTTTCCTTCACCCTCCTTTTGTTAGTAGTGTATTTATAAAACCACTTTTTATTATCCTTTACAGAAGTGGTCACATTAAGTTCTAACTCAGCTTTTGCCTCTCTAATTTTCCTTCTGCATGACCTAACAACATCTTTAAACACTTCCTGAGTTGCTTACCCCCTTTTCCAAAGGTGATACATCCTCTTTTTCTCCCCCTGAGTTCCAGTGAAAGCTCCCTGCTCAATCAGACTGGCTTTATTCCCCACTGGCTCATCTTTCAGCACAAATACAAATGATTCACAGTTTTATTTTTTCTTATTTTAACTTTTCTAATACATTACTTAGACTTCTTTTCTACATTACTCTTAATGATTCTCAACTGCTAATTTTCTTTTAGTATCATCAGAATAATATGCAAAGTTTTTTACATTTTCCACGAAAATTTAAAACATGTCACTTGAACCAGTGTCGCAAGATGGCAACAGCTTCAATTTTAATAGCCAGCACAACTTGATGCCATAAGCAGACTGCAAAAAGTCTACTTTTCAATTTCCGTCCCACAGAAACCAATTCCTGAGGCAAAAGTGGGAAGAGAGCCAGGATATACCTGGACTCCCTCCCTTCTATGGGGTCAAGACACAAAAAAGAGTCCTCCTTGGGCCACCAGTTCTGCAAAACCATTATTAACTTTTTAATGATCTGTGTAACCACTCTTGTAACCAGTCATTTATAGATGTTTCCCTGAACTTAAACGTGTATTTGTAAGTATTTCTATTTATTTTCCCTTCTATACTTTTTAACAGGGGTCTTATCAAAAAGCAAAAATTCAGTGGTATTGGGTATTAATCACAGTAATCTACTTGCTACTTTAGATGGTAGGGAATTAAATTTTTCCTCTTGAAATCACATCTTTTCCACAATAAAAGTGAATTAGTTACTATAAAAGTTTTAGAAACATAACTGTTTTTAAAGAATCCTATTTAAGAACTATGAACTTTGGTCTTGGAGTTTAGGCAGGAGGGTATATTCATTGATATGTTCACTGTTTCACATTTCATATATTTCAGATCCTTTACCAAAGAAAAAGTAGTAATTTCAACATCCAAATTTTTACATTGCTTCATAATTTTCTTCTCAAATATGTCAGCTTGCCAAAGTCATATTGCTGATGTCCTTTAAAATTTAATTATGGGTCAGATTTTCATTACTGTTTTAACTACTGTCAGACACCTAGTACCCGTTAAGTCTTTGTTAAGACTGTTTTCTGTCTCTGGAGGTATTTATCCCAAACTCCTCATGCAATCCTGACTATGTAAGTATTACCGAGTGTTTGGAACCTTACCACTTCAAATGTAGCTGCAGAATTTTTAATCGTAAAAAACAATCAAAGACACAAAGGTGAATATCATCTGTACCTTTTACAAACCTAATTTTCAAAGGGATCTTGTTTCAGTTGTGAAAAAGAAATGCTATGTATGTAATCAGTATATACTAACCCCTACTGTAACTTTTCACTAAAGCAATGGAAACAGATGCTGTAAATAATTTTATACCTGATTTCAAATGGTGCTGTCATAAGTAAAATGAAAAATACAGATTAGAATTTCACCTTCTGTGTGGTTCATTCATGAGCGCATAGAAAAAACTTCAGTAATCTGGAGACTGTTTCTGATATTTTATTTTTACCTTGTTTTCATCATAATAAAATCATACAGCCAAACCACAACCATTAAAATTTTAAGACCAGTCGAGATGCTGCTGTCATTTGCATCAATATAAATCCAATAGCAGTGTGAAACTCATGGATTATTGGTATCAATACTAACATTTTCATTGCACTTCTGCAGGGCTTGGAAATTCTAAGATTTCTGTTACAGTAATTTTTTTCATACTGAAAACGCCAAGAATGATGAACAATTTGTTTTGAATAAATATTCAAGGCAAGTTAACCTAGAATTTAGCTGTTGTCAAGAGATCTGTTGTCAAGGATGTAGTCAGAGATGATAATGAGGAAGGATAATGATCTAATATCTGCATTTTGAAGCATTTGTTTCTTATTTCTGAACAATGTTTGGAAAGAAGGAAAGAATTATAACAGGGTTCTGCACATCCCTGTGGCAATCAATATATGTTGCATGTTCTCTTCTTTTCCTAATGAACTTATGGCCACTTTTTATTCTATCTGGCATCAAAATCCAGCTCAGAATGAAGAACAAAGACAAATACCCCAGAAGACAGCAGATATGAGTTTAGTCAACAGCCTTTAGAAAAGCCTTCTGAGTAATCCCTGTGTTTTCCACCTGTATTTTCACCAGATTGCAAACTGTGTATTTAAAGATATATGCATTTGACACTACCAAAATTTACTGGAAGGCTTTCTCAATAAAGGTCAATGACCTGAAACCTGTCAGATGTTAAAAAATAAAAAAGAAGCATTTGGAAAAAAAGTCTTCAACATTACAAAAATGTTTTACTCTCTGAACATAAAATACATACTTTTATAAACAATAGATTTACTAAAACATCTGCTCAAAAAGAGAAACTTCTTGCCACCATTTGTTTTCAACCATAATCCCAATATGCCTCTTTTAATAGAAGGTAGATATTGAAGCTGCATTACTTTTATGATCAATGGATCTTACTGTCATATATATTATGTATGATGTCCATCCTGAACTTCTCACTCACAGGGAAATTTACACTGGAGCTTGATACAAATAAAAGTGGTAGGATCAGGAGTTTTTTTGCTTCTAATTTATTGTAAACATGCAGAAATTTCCATTACAATTTATTGCCCTACTCCCTATCTAACTTGGATAAAATACTACAACACAAAAAATTGAAATTAGATATGAAGTACTGAATATGTATGGTCTAACAATGAAATCAATAGTAACAGAAAACTCTTATAATGAAAAATGCACTGCATAAATCCACTTAAAACAATTGAAAATTATGGACCATATGTTATTAGACATAGGAAACAATGGAGGAAACTATGCACAAGCTAAACACTTTAGGAGACTAGCCACCATCACAATTCTACATCTGCAAGTAACTTCATTAAGAAGTAAATATCAGAGCTGTAGGTTTGTTATTAGAAGTGGTCCAATTACACATCTCGAAAGACAGTCAAGAAGACGTGATATACTAACACTGAATGAAAGACTATTGAGATTTTGAAGCTGAGAATGGCATCAGGGTGGAATTGTTTCTCTCTATTTTATTACGCAGCTCTTCATTCCACCTACAGAGGATGAAAGCCTTACATTCCATTACCATGGAATGAGACACCATGGAATGGTACAAGTAAGTGTATATACTTAAAAAGTTATCAAATAAATATTTCTGACTACCATGAGTTTGGACATTAATGTCAACAAACCTAATCTCATATCAGGTAAATAAATTCTGAAATACTCACCATGATTCCAGTGAGTAAACAGACCCCTTTCCCACAGTATGTATTAGGTACCATGTCACCATATCCAATGGATAGAAATGTTATTGAAATCAACCACATTGCTCCAAGGAAGTTGCTTGTAACATCCTGTTGATCATGGTACCTGAAAATAAAAAGAAAATAATTTCTTTATAATGAAAAGTTCTGTTAGATTTTTGTGCTGTCAGAAAGAAATCTCACTAGCTGGTGTGTGGTAGATTGACCTTGGCTAACAGCCAAATACTCACCCGCTCACATCTCCCTGCTCAGCAAGCAGGGGACAAAAAAAGTTTGTGTAATGAGAAACAAAAATAAAACCTAAAAACTCAAGTCCCACCCAATCCCCCATTTTCCAGGTTTAGTTTCACTCCTTTAATCATGACTCCTCTACCTGTCCCAAGCATCGCAGAGCGGATGGGGGTTACGGTCAGTATATATGTACTAGGTCTGACTAGGATAGAGTTTTTTTCAAAGCAGCTCATGTGGTGCTGTGTTTTGGATTTTTTACCAAAACAGTATCAATAACACACTAATATTTTAGTTATTGTTGAACAGTGTTTGCACAGCATCAAAACCTTCTCTGTTTTTCACACTGTTGTTGTCTAAAAGTGGCACTTGAAAAAAACCTCTAAGACTTGTTAATGAGTTTTAGAAGTCAAGGCATTCTTTATTTGGCGTCAGGTGCATTGGTCATAATTTCGCCAAAATGCACACCAAGGTACCTCCACTACAGCTTTTATGTCAACATTACATGATTATTCATTTTCAGTTCCCTGCATTCCTGTTACATATTCTAGACATTTCTCAACACCTATTAGCATATATACATATCCTTATAAGGTTTTGGAGGGGCTTCTTCAGGAGTCTTTGGTGGGCTTCTCTGCCTGAAGACCCTATAGTTCTGAATGACTGCCTTATGAATTTGTTCAAGACAATTCACTTGGTTATACAGTAACTGGGTATTGCTTGGCTCTCTGCCTCAGTTCCCCTCCTCATTATTTCTTTATTTTGCTTGGTTAGTCCTTTAAAATCACTGTCTCAGTTTAATGAGACTGGAAGTGTTTTACTAAGGAGGGTGAGTTATGAGGTAGACCAAACTCCTCTCCCTCAGCAATTGTAAATCCGAAATTAAGAGGTTCCAATCGAAGAAGTATGGAAAAAAGAAAAATAACAACCCTTTATTAAAGGATATATGTCCAGAGTAGGAAAGAACTTTGAAGCCTGGAAAGGAATATTACGCAAACATGGTGTTGGAAACTGCAACGATAATGGTCGACTTCTGCTAGAGTTCTGTGCGGAGCAGCAGCTCACCATCACCAACACTATCTTTCAGCAGAAAAACAGACTGAAGACAACCTGGATGCATCCTAGATCTAAGCATTGGCACCTCATTGATTATGTCTTGGTGCGACAGAGAGATATTCGCGATGTTCACCACACCCGTCTGATGCCTAATGCAGAATGCCAAACAAATCGTCTACTTGTGCGCTGTAAACTTAGTTTCCACCTTAAGTTCAAACCTAAAAGGGACGGTATTCCAAGGAGGACACTCCAAGTTAACCATCTTCAATCAGCTAAAGTGAGAGACAGCTTTCAGGTCAACCTTCAAACTAGGCTTGAGGATCATTCCATAGATCCCTCTCCTGAATCACATTGGCAACATATTAAAAACAGCATCCTGCAGTCCTCTGAAGAATCCTTAGGGTTCTCCCTCAAGAAGAACAAGGACTGGTTTGATGAAAACAATCAAGCGATCTAGGAATTGTTGAGGAAAAAGAGAACTGCTCACCAAGCACACCTTGCTCAGTCATGATCCTGGCAAGAATACTTTTGAACAGACTAATACCCATTACAGCAGAAGAACTTCTTCCTGAAAGTCAATGTGGTTTCAGAGCCAAAAGGAGTACCACAGACATGCTATTTGTTCTCAGACAACTGCAAGAGAAGTGTAGGGAACAGAATAAAGGTCTCTATGTAACCTTTGTTGATCTCACCAAGGCTTTCAATACTATGAGCAGAAAAGATCTGTGGCAGATTTTGGAACGTTTAGGTTGTCCCCCCCAGTTCCTTAAAATGATCATCTTACTTCATGAGGATCAACGCGGCCAAGTCAGATATGGTGATGTACTTTCTGAGCCCTTTCTAATATCCAATAGTGCGAAACAAGGTTGCCTTCTTGCACCAACGCTATTCACTATCTTTTTCAGCATGATGCTCCAAAGGGGTACGGTAGACCTCAATGATCAAGATGGAATCTACATTCAATATCGTACCGATGGAAGCCTATTCAACCTAAGGAGACTGAAGGTCCATACTAAGACCTTCAATCATCTTGTCCGTGAACTGCTTTACGCTGATGACACCGCCCTTGTCACTCACACAGAAGTAACTCTGCAGTGTTTAGCATCCTGCTTTGCAGAGGCTGCTGAGCTTTTTGGGTTGGAAGACAGCTTAAAGAAGACAGAAGTTTTCTATCAACCTGCACCTCAGGAAGTCTTCCATCATCCCCATATCACCATTGGCCAATCAGAGCTCAAATCAGTCCAACAGTTTAATTACCTGGGTAACCTCATCTCCTCGGATGGTAAGATTGATGCAGAGATAGACAATAGGTTAGCAAAGGCATATAGAGCTTTAAGAAGACTCCATAAAAGAGTCTGGTGAAATAAACACTTGAAGAAAAGTACCAAGATCAGTGTTTACAGAGTCATTGTGCTTTCACTCTCTTATATGGGTCCGAATCATGGGTCATTTACCGCCACCACCTGCGACTCCTAGAACGCTTCCATCAACGCTGTCTCCGTACAATCCTAAACATCCACTTGTCAGATTATGTGACTAATACATCTGTTCTAGAACAGGCAACAGTTACAAATATTGAGGTCGTGTTGTTGAGAACACAGTTGCTTTTGGCAGGGCATGTCTCCACGATGGAGGATTGTTGCCTGCCTAAGATCATGCTCTACGGTGAACTTGCCACTGGGTGTCGCAAGAGAGGAGCCCCAAAGAGGAGATACAAGGACTCCCTGAAGCAACATCTCAACCTTGGTCACATTGATCTCCATCGCTGGTCTACTCTGGCCTCCAATCGGGAGGTCTGGAGACACACTATCCATAACTCTACTGCTTCTTTTGAGAATGCATGCAGGATCACCATCGAAAAGAAAAGACAACGCAGAAAGAATCACCTCTTGCCGATACCATCCAAGGAGTCTTTCTGTTGTGCCTTTTGCAACCAATCTTGTCTATCTCGCATTGATCTCTTTAGCCACCAGCGCACTTGCAGTAAATGTGGGTAGAGCCCTTCCCAAATCTTCATTTGCAAAGTCTAGCCTTGATGATAATGTGTATTGGCAAAAGAACACAAAACCAACTAAACAATAATCCTGTACCCAAAAGTCCCCTTCAAAAAAAAGGAAACAGTTTGATACTTCTCTGTCCTCTAGCGCAATTCTAATCACGGTTGACAGGGGGCGCTGTTGGATCACTGGAGGAGCAGAACCTGTAGTTGCTCAGTGTTGGCCAGCAGGGGGTGCTGTTGGGCCCTGACCATCGCCATATGGGGCCCTGGTGTGCGGGAGAAGTTGAAAATTGAGATTTCCCCCCTCCACTGAGGAGGGGAAGGGGAAAAGGGAAAAGGATGGCAGTTTCTTTCCCACAAAACTCACGATGTCTATGTCTGGCTTTGGTCCGGACTCCCCCCTTTCCTCGCCGAGCACAAACTCTCCGATGAAATTTGAGCAGGTCTGGCTGGCAACAGAGCAGACTGCAGGCAAGCCGAGGCCAGAGAACAGGCAGATGACCAGGTTGAGAGCAAAACGGCCTCAGAGTTTTTCCAGAACACACCTTGCCCCCGTTAAGGCAAAAAGTGAAGTGTCACTTTCCAAGGAGAAGAGAGGAGAAAAACTCCTCATCCCCCCCCAACCTTAGAGAGGGCTATCAGCCTGGAATGTAGTTCTGCCAGCCAGTTCCTTTGTGTAGGTCAATCACCCAAGGCAGAAAACTGTCCTCCCCATTCAACATCCCTCCCCCACACTGCAGCAGGGGAAAGAAAATTCCCGTTTGCTTTTTAGAACAAGTAAACCCATGACAATCACTTGTCTCTTCTATATCTAATTTCTATGGTACATTCCGTTTGGTTTGTCCCTTTAAATCACTTGGCTCAACTATATGGAGTTTCTATGGTAAATTCTGTTGCAAATACTATCAGTCCTCTTTGCATCTCTAACCCCCGACATGGTTGTCCTCCCAGTGAATACCTTGGGGGAGAAGGGGTTGCACAGTAGACTGGGAGGGAACACAACTGGGCAGATGACCTGAACTAACCAGAGAGATATTCTATATCATATAATGTCATGTTCAACAATAAAAGGGAAAAGAATGGACTTTAGGTGGGTTATCCATATTTTTCTCAGGAACTGGTTTGACATCGATCTACCCACAGATGCATGATTGTTTTTGTATCACTTCTTTATTTTCTTCCCTCTTCTTCCACTTATGATTCACTTATTATTTGCCTGTTTTATCTTGACCTCCAAGTTTTCTTGGTTTTATTCTTCCTTTCTTCTTCCCCTGTCCCACTGTGGGGGAGGAGTGAGCAAGCAACTGTGTGGTGCTTATATCCGTCTACCAGGGTTAACCCACAACAACACTTTCTACCACTTCTTCCTTCTCACACTTTTCTGCTGCTCCAGTGTGTGACCTCGCCATGGACTGCAGGGGAATGCCTGATCTGTCATGGTCTCTTCCACAGGTTGCAGGGGAATGTCTGCTCTGGTGCCTGGAGCACCTTTTTTCCTCCTTCTCTGCCCTGGGTGTTTGAACTGCTGCTTCTCACTCTTCTTTTTCTCTTCTCCTCTGCTTGTGCAGTGTTTTCTGCCCTTTCTTAAATATGTTTTCACATAGGCACCACCAACTTTGATGATTGGCTCAGCTTTGACCTGTGGTGGGTCCATTGCCAAGCCAGCCAGAACTGTTATTCCTATTCAAATAGCAGAAACCTCTTGTTTTTTAAGAGAATCTTTTTTATGGGGGTACAAGTCCTGTTGATCCTCTGCAGTTGTATAAGACATCAGTCTACTATAGTTACTCCAGTCTGAAGCATATACAAAAGTCAGAAATGGA